CCCCAATACAAAAAACTCCATTGGAGCCCATCGGTCCCACAAAAAGTATAGATTCTCGGTATTGTAGCAAGGTAACATCGGATCTAAGGCGTTATTGCGTAGTGGATTGCTCGTTTCGGCCCCCCAAATCATCAAATCTTCACCTTTCAAAAAATTTAAAATCGAGATATTCCGACTTATTTTTTGTTAAAACTCATGTACTAAAAATGCCTATTAGTTATTTTTTACTATGATATATGTTCTTTCGTGATTGTTTTGCGATTTAATTAATTTGTTATTTTTTATCTGGATTAGATTATTATTGTGCTAAATAAATTAGTAAAATAGAGAAATTGTTATTTTATGAATAATTAATGTTATTAGTTGTTATAAAAAATATTTATTTGTTATTTTTTACTGTGATATATGTATTATCGTGAAACAGCCGAGGATCTTTCGTAAACAGTTTCTCTACTCCTTCGGGGTAGAGGTAAGGTCTGCGTACACACTACCTTCCCCAGACTCCACTAGTGGGATTTTACTGGGTTGTTGTTGTTATTATTGTATTGTCGTGATTGTTTTGTGATTAAATTAATTTGTTATTTTTTATCCGGATTAGATTATTTATGTGCTAAAAGATTAGTAAAATAGATAAATTATTATTTTATGAATAATTAATGTTATTTAGTTCCCTTTAGTGTTATGTTGTGCCCGTAATTTTAATGTATTGCATGTAAGTGTAATGTAGTGTCCTTTAGCGTAGTACAATGTAGTGCCCTTTAGCGTAGTATCTTTGTAGTTATTGAAATTAATCATCGGATTATCTATCAACCCCAAAAATATCTGGAAAAAAAAAATGATAGTTCAAACACAAAGTATCTCGAATACTAGTCAACAAATGTAAGAAAATAACATAAAAACAATAATATTTGTCAATCTAATTATTTGTATATGAATACTTATTAATTAAATCATGTATTCATATAAAAATTAATTATTTAATTCTATTATACCCAAAAATAGGTGAATAAGAAAGAAACATATTGAATAAGAAAGAAACATATAAAATAATAAACTAACATATAAAATAATAAACAATCATATAAACTAAGAAACTAACATATAAAATAATAAAATAATATATAAAATTATAATATAGAAAATGTATCAACCTAAATAACAATATAGTAAAAATATCGATTAAATATTAATATAAAAGATATTGCAATATATTTAAAGATGTTAAGCAATTAAAAAGAAAAATACTTTAATTGATATTGTTCAATTTACAGACATCGTCATGGAGGTTCCCCATGCGCATCCCGGACCTGCATCTCTAGAGTTACTGTTGCTACAGGCCAACCATAGGTCTTCATACATATGGGATGGGCAGTGTTAGTCCTAGACATTCCGCCCCAGATGTATAGACGATATGTGGGATTTCATTCGGGCCCACCCACTCCATCCCTGTATAGTTAGACGCCTTCAGGATACAGGTTTCTACAGGATCATAGAGATCGGCCAGTTGCAGTTCGACTGGGCGTTGATCACGGGTATGATAGAGCGGTGGCAACCGGAGACGCACACGTTTAATCTACCCATCGACGTAGCTACCATCACGCTTGAGGACGTGGAGGTTCTTTTCGAGCTGCCGGTTGATGGATTACCTGTAGCTTACCCGCATGCTCTCAGAGACTATAGGGGATTGCATTACCTGCATATGTTGCAGCGGCTCACCGGATTCCAGCCAGCGGAGGAGACTGCATTGAGTGGGGCCAGTCATTTGCAGCTGACGCCCATCCGGCAGCATCTGGAGGTGATGGATGTGGAGATTACGGATGATTCACTGCCGGAGGTTATCGACCGGCACACGAGATTGGTGCTTCTGCTGATGTTTGGTGGTGTATTTTTCCCGAACACTTCGGGAAACCTAGTCAGCTTGAGATTTTTATATCATCTTGAGCGGCTAGATGATTTACCTGGTTACTGCTGGGGTGCAGCTGTTCTAGGTTACCTGTATAGGCAAATGTGTCGGGCTAGCATGGGCACCCAGAGAGACGTTGCCGAATTTTTACTGTTGCTGCAGGTGAAAACATAGTCAATTCTTTTCATGATTATAACATACATAGTGAAAATATACCTTAAATTTTACGTCCACAATCTCTATTAGGTTTGGGCCTGGGAGCGGTTCCTGCAGTTCCAGCCACCTCTACCACCTATCACTCCGGATGCACCACCTTTACCGTTTCTCCCTTTAGCTTGGAGGTGGGTTGATAGGAGAGGCTACGGAAGCGAGTTCGAGGCTATTTGCTTGAAGACGCGCAAGTACATGTATTCTTAAGTTTACTTGGCCTGGCTTTATATGTGTTGCATTTACTCACGATTCCTGTGTTTATTAATAGTTCTTATGAAGGCCACACAGTGACGCGCTCATAGCTGGTATGCCTGATTATTGCTTCCGCAACTGAGCTATGTGGATCTCTTCCGTCCCACTGATATGTCTTGATATTGTCGAGCATCATGACACCGAGTGAGTCCTTCGCCAGTTTGGTCAACCGCAACTTGTACTTATTCCGCCCGCTTGGCTTAGGACACATTACCAGCGGGATGATCGTTCCAGGGCTGATCAAACATACTTGGACTGGCTAGAAGCCCAGATTGAGATTTGGGACCAGAGGTATAGCCTGATTCCGCCACCCCCTCCACCTGAGCGTACGGCTTGTGAGCATGAGTATATGGGTTGGTATCGCAGCGTTACCCGACTTCTCATCGGGAATCCCGTTCATCGCGCTGGTGGTCGGTATATTCCATACGCCGTGAGGCATAAGACACTGGTATATTATTTGTTATACTTACTTATAAAATTAAATTATCCTTCCTTAATTAATATTTGACATGTTATGCAGGCTATTGGCTTACATCAGTTCTACCAGTTGGGGACTGGAGATGCAGCAACATACCGGCGAAGGAGCGGCAGCTTTGCATGAGTATAGACGGCAGGTTATAGATCTGGCTGCCCGGATATTGAGGCGTGCCGAGATGATGAGCAATTAGGATATGAGGCTACTTATGTGCCGCTAGAGGAGTACCATCATGGGCCACCAGTGGAGCCTGAACGTCGTAGACGTGGCAGGCATGGCTAGAGAGGAAGGGGTGTCCCACGCGTTCGTGGTGGTCGGCGAGGACGGGGTCCCCAGCAAGGGGGCGTTGAGGCACCCGTGGAGGCTATTAGAGATGATCAGCCGGGTGACCACCCTGAGCCACACGATGCTCCTCATGATATTCCGTCATTCAGCCTTCAGCTGTCGCCAGGGACTTCACAATTGACCCGTCAGCTCCATTGTTGATCGCGGGCACATCCATTACGACAGGAGTGGGATTAATATTTTCCTGATCCCCTTGAGCCATCGACGGTTGCTGAGGATTGTCCGACACGAGACGTGCAAAGTGGGCGACGACTGAGTTATGGATCATCATCGAGGGATGCTGAGGATCTAGCACATACTTCATCTACTCCAGTGCACCTCGATGTTCCAACGGAGCGTTGCGCTGCTACTCAGGCATAGGTTTGTTTGTATTACTATTATTTCTATTTGTTTTTATCTCATTGATTAGTTAGTAATATCTAAAGTATTTTTATTTTTTTTAAAGACATCGGCATCGCTCGTCACGAAGGCCGCATTGTGCGATACTAAGACGCCGGAGACAGATGATCTAATTTAGGAGCCCGTTGAGACCATGGTATGTCCATTAAAAAATATTTTCCTAACACGTACGTTAGTAATTATTATTTCATATAGTCAAATATCTTATTATTCTGTAGGTTACTGCCGGCCCGACGGCTGCTTCTACCGAGTCTGCCAGCCTTACCCATTGCAGCGTATCCTCCGATAAATAGGAGACGTGATGAGGATGATCCTGATAGCGTAGCCGGACGGGATGGGATGCGCCTCAGGCCAGCAAATGCTTTAAAGCATACAAGTTGTGGGACACATTGACATTTATTATTATTTGTATATATGACATTAAATATACAATAGCAAAATTATTTATATTTTACACAATTTGCGCATGTGTTTTTATTTCTCGAGATATTTAGTAGTTTAACAATACAATACAAAAAAAAAGAAGACAAATTAACATAAAATTTAAATTAGTTACCAATTAAATATCATACATGACACGTATAACATAAAAATAAAATACTACACTCAACGCATCAATGTGTTTGTTTAGTCACTATCGCCTATTATTCTGTGCTTCAACCACTTAAATTTCTCCTCCAACCTATTTATTTCTTCTTCTGCCTCTTTTAGTTTCTCCTGCAATGCCGCAAGTTGTTCTTGTAGCTTCACGATCTGGAGTTCATATTCACCGGTCAGATTTCAAATGTTTAGCAAATATGATTTATAGTATTCCTAATTAATGGGTTCATCATACCATTCATCAAAACCACATTTCTTTTTGTCCTACCAATGAGAGAATAACACAAGACTATTAATTAACATGTTATATAAAAAGTATTAACAAACATTTCTTCCAAGAATAATAACTTATAACTTATTTACACATCCAACGTCTGTGCCCTAGATTGTAATTTGACCAACATGGCTTCAAAATCGCATGTTTGCCACAGTAACACCTTAGTACGTAATTGCGTTTAAACATGTCGTAATGCTCGAAAATGGAAAATTATTGGAAAGTTTTTGTTTTCGTTTCGTTACAATGCAAATAATAACTAAAATGCATGAGGTTTTTATAGGCAGCTAAGAGTGATTTTAGGTTACATAAGGCATATTGGTGCGGCACTATGTTTCGCGTGATAATGATTCTTTCGGGTACTAGTGGGTCCAGCTTTGTCAGTACGATAGCTTTTCAGGTCAGCGGCCTTTTCAGGTCGACATGAAAAAACACATAGCACTTATTGGTGAGGCAATATGTTTCGCATGATAATGATTCTTTCGGGTACAATTCGGTCCAGCTTTTTCAGTACGACGGCTTTTCAGGTCAGTAGCTTTTTCAGGCCGACAGCTTTTTTTTTCGACATGACAAGACACATAGCGCATATTAGTGAGGCGCTATATTTCGTGTGATAATGATTCTTTCGAGTGCAAGTGGGTCCAGCTTTTTCAGTACAACAGCTTTTCAGGTCAGCAGCTTTTTCAGGCCGACAGCTTTTTCAGGTCGACATGACAAGACACATAGCACATATTGGTGAGGCGCTATGTTTTCGCTTTCATACAAGTCGACATACAGCTTAGTTCTTTTTTAGTTGAACCAAGAGATCAATACTCAAATACCATTTGAAGAAGCAGAACAACATCCAATTCAGAAATGCCACTAACATTTAATAAGTGGTTTACGAAGAGGCAAAAGGTGAAGGTAGTTCAAAAGATCCAAATGGAACACGTCATAACATAATCGATCCCTACCTTGAAAAAAATATGCTAGGTTGTTATACTGATTTGGTTGATGACAAGTGGTATGGTGTTCTACGTCCCTTGGAAAATAAGCCTATCAATATACACATAGATCTAAAAGGTGCAGGGCACATTATTGAGGGTGAAGCGCATTCTACAAATCCTGAAGGTATGCGAATTTGGGGTGAAACACTACAATGGATTCCCCTTTACTCAAAACGGTGTGATTATGAAGTAATATGTCACTGGCATGGGCTTATTGTACCACAAGCACTATCTGCAACCTTCTAAACAAACACACAAAAAGATGAACCAGAAGTGATTTGGCATTTGATGAAGGAGATTCTAGAGATGGAAAAGGCACTTGTTGTTCATTATGCTATCGATGATCTTATCTACCTGGAAGGAACGGAGGATCAGTAGTAGGATTTATTAGAAAATAAAAAAATGCATAGAGACAATGAGTGTCCTGTTTTCCCAATAGTTATTGAGTGGGAGGGACTACCTAAGTTTCTACCACAGACGTTGGACGTAGGAGTCCCATATTATTGTAAAAATCAAGCAAGTGGTCTTATTGATGATAGCGATGAAATACGAGAAATATGTATCAAGTAGGGCCTAGATTACAATGCCCTTGGTCCCGAAGGGTGCGTACAAGATGTTGACGAAGAAGATGAAGGCGGTGACAACGAAATAGTGCCAGACAGCAACGATAATGGCGAATGAATTTTTCTTATTCCTTGGATTGTATGTTAAACTGTTGTATTGAATATTTAATTCTAAATAACATTTAGATTTAACAACATTGGAAACATAATTTTATTTCATACATTTTGTAACCTGAACATTTACTTAACTTTAGTACAACAAAATTACTCCAATGAAACACTACGTTTATCCTTGATAATTGGGCACACTAGATGAATTGCCACCCGGTGCTGAATTACCATCGCTTCCCAAACTAGCTGAAGGATATTTACGGTGGTCGTGTCCTGTTTGGGCACATATATCACATTTACGCGCATAAACGGTATCACCAACATCCATTTGGTTTCGTATACGCATTCTTTTTTGCACTTGTCGTTGATGCACATAATCCTTATTACACACCATTTAAATGGTTCCGGCGACCAATAATGCTCAGCACCCACTGGCTGCAACTGTCCACTATAGGTGTTTAAGTATGCAACAACACTATATTATTTATCAGTGTACCTCGTTGTTGCGAAACTTGTATGTTAAAAGCACTCCATGGCATATGAGCATGGCAAGTGATAGATTGACCATTTTCCACAGGAGGATAATCTTCTGGCTTCATTGAAGGCGTGTGTATTATTCCCACGGTTATGATGTAGACCAGTGCAAACTTCAAAAATATTTTGCTCGCTGCAATACTGCAAAAATGAATGCCATTGTGCTCGCTTCCTATGTTTCTCAAATCGTTTCATTGGTTGTGGCATAAATTTAACACCCCTTTCTATCAATGACGATGAACCTCTAGATCTTTCAACAAACCTCTCCGCCATCTACTTGAATGACATCCGCGTGCAGACTTTAATAACCCATTGAAAGACTTCAATAACCCATTGAAAGACTCTAACACATTCGTAGTCAGAATTTCCCATCTTCTACTACCATCCACATGCAAAGTCCACTTGTCACGCTCATGTCGCATCAACCAACGATAGGCTTCTAGGTCTTCCTACCTAATCAATTCCATTCGCCTCCTAAATTTACACTCTTGGTGATCTGTTGCAGCCATCCACATTAAATCATGCAAGTCCTTGTTAGGATAAGACCTCTGGAAGTTGGCTTTCAAGTGCCTAATGCAGTAACGGTGGTAGGTATACAGTTCTTGCCATGTACGCAAATTCTATACAGAACTTAAAATACCGCCATGCCGATCAGATATTAGACAAATACATGAACGCTGTCTCACAATGTGCTCCTTCAAGTGGTTCAAAAATAATGTCCACGTCTCTTGGCTTTCATTGGCACAAATAGCAAATGCTAGGGGAAATATACTTCTATTAGCATCTACTTCAACAGCGATCAATAACTTAATATCGTACTTTAAATAGACATGAGTTCCGTCTATGGATATTACCGGCCGACAATGCACAAAACCATCAATGGCTGGTTTAAATGCCCAAAACACATATCTAAATATGTGTTCCGGTATTCTCGGACTCCGCTCAAGCTTCTATTCAACAACAGTCCCGAGGTTAAAGTATTTCAATACGTCCATGTACTTGGGTAGATATGCAAAGGACTTATCCCAGTTACCATACACAATTTCAAATGCACGTTTATGCCCGAGAAATGTCTTTCTTTTTGTAATGGTATGCCCATATACCTGGTGGACAGATGTTATACACTCTTTGATCTTATACCTTATGGACGCTTCAATGTGTGGAATATCCCTGTGACCGTCATGCAAACTTCCTCAAATGACCCGAACTCAAATTGCGGCACATACACATCCCACTGATAGAAAGAACTCTTCACATAAATGCAAAGGGATAAAATTGCAGCACATACACATCCCACTGATAGAAAGAACTCTTCACATAAATGCAAAGGGATAACACAACCTAAGAGAATCCCATAGGAGATAACCCACCTGCTAGCCTCAAACTCGCATCTCACTACACCCTATCATGGTCACAACTACTATACAATCGCTAAATCTTACCGAGTCTAAACTTGTCAACAAGACATAAAAATTTACTTTATTCTACAAATGTACAACTAAAGGATCCCCTAACGCACTCATAACACAAGACAGTATAACACATTAAGACAAAAATCAAGCATCTATAGTCCTTTCACATCCCAGGAAAATTTCTTCTCATCACATTCAAGTCATCTAAGCATATACCGTAGTCACACAATACTCATCACACAACTATCTGACCACTCTCTGAGCCATCAGTCCCACTCCTAGAGACACTACGGGACATATAAGTCCAGAAGCATATACTCACACAAACGAAACCACCGAGCCCAAGCTGCGGTCTGAACCCGGCCTAAAGTCCTCCAGACTGTCCTATCTCCACAACACAGAGAACATATCTCGCACCTCATTCATAATATCATAATTCTTCGATGCACATCTGATACTGGATGTTCAACATAAAACACGAGTGGATGGAAGAAAATCAGGATATACGCATCAAGCTGAATCGATGCTGCACGATAAAGCCGAATAAGATGGGAAGTTTCCTAGATGCCCTGTAGCCTCTCAGAGAAATGTATGGATGTCATCATATCGATCCGCAAGACTCTACTAGACACCTGCTCATGACTCGTATAACCTATGAACCTAGGCTCTGATACTAACTTGTCACGATCCAAAATTTACCTAATCGTGATGGAACCTAATCCAATCCGCTAGATAAGCCAAATAACAATCCACACAACTCAAATAAGAATAATAAGAATCGGTAAGTGAAATAACTTAATTCCACACAATAACCCAAGGATTGGTAGTACAAGTCATGAGTCACTAAGACTTAGATTCACAAAGCTGGTATGAAATAAATACAACATC